GTCCCACAGGCTGACCAATAGGTCTCATTGGTTTCTTGTACTGTCCCATATGTTGTAATATCCCATAATCTGTTGTCTCCCATCTGGGATTTAGACATTAGGAGCAATCTTTTTGCACTATATTATACAGTGCCTGCCCACAGTGGGTCTTGCTCCATGGTAGAGCTCCTACAGGCTGTACAGCAAAACAATGTAATGACAGTAACTGCAGTGACAAGAAGGGCTGGAGTAACAGAGCAGGGGTTGTGTTCATTAGACAAGACATCTGTAATGTGTTTAAGCAAATGGCGTGGACCAGGCAAGTTGTTTCAACAAAGTCAGCCGTTCACTGAAAGCCTTTTCCAGGTAAACCTCTGGTTTATCTTGACCTGTTAACAAGCATCAAGACAACAGCCTTGTGGAAGAAGGTCCCATTCAGCACTAAGGCAGGGAATCAGTATCTAGCCTGTATTAATTAAAAATCCACACTTTGAAGTCACCAATTAGACAAAAATATGCACTCGCACAAACACACATGCATGTGAGTACACACAGGCAGAACTTTAAATACAATTTTATTTCAGGTTTGCTATCGATGCACAAACAGCAGAGACCAATGTACAGTATACATGGTATACACAAAGCAGCCAGTACAATAGGCATTTCCATCCTTCTGCTATACATTTTGCAAAAGAACCACAGAAAATAAAACAAACCCCTGCCCGTCCCCCAGTGAACAATAGCAATGACCATTCTCAGTGGCTTTGGGAACCATCTTTTCATTGGAAAGACACAAAGGGCAGCCCCTCAGAACAGTACACTCAAATGAAAGCACCATGTAAGATGTGCTACACAGAGAAAACAGCAAAAAATGGACTGTATGTAGGACTGGAAGGGACTTGATGGTCCAGCTGCCTGCTACTACAAGCAACCATGACCTCTAATCCCATTTGTAAACAAATCTCCAACACCATCTTAAAGCTAGTTAAATTATCTGTCCCTCTTGGCACCTCATACCCCTCTTTGTAGGAGATGGGGAGAAGACTCAAGAAAGGAGTCAACTTCATGTATTACATGCAGGCACTGTCCTGTCTAGTGCCTGTTCCAGTCTGTTATAGTACTATTTGGCTGTCCTAGTGACTGGCTGCCCTCTGGGATTTTCTTTCCTCTCTGCTGATCCTCCCTCAACTTAAACATTATCATTTGCCTGGAGAGATCCTTGTCCCCATCTGGAACCAGTAACTGCTCCTCAGATTCATTCTCCCCTGCACAGATACCACTAATGACATATTTCAGTAGAGAAATTATGGGACTGGTGAAAGCCAATACTCTTATTGAGGTCACCGTCAATAAACAATGGAAAGAAAAGTGAAACAAATGCTCGGGAAAAGAAATTAGATGGACCCATTACAAAAAAGGCACATTAAGACAAACCAATAGAACAAGAGGGACTAAAACACTGGGTCACAGTTGGAATCCCCTGTCCATTTTGCACAGCCTCTGTGCAGGACCATGGACCTACAGCAGTGAGCGGCACTTGAAGAGTCCAATATTCAGCTGGCGTAAATCAGAAGAGCACCATTGAAGTCAGAATAATTAAAGTCAGAACTATGCCGATTCACATCAGCTGAGGCTCCAGCCTACAATACCTTGAGGTTTTTAAATCAGCCATTTAGTAACTACATGAAATCCCAGTACTCTAATTCCTAGATCCCCGTCCTGAAATCTGGCTTTATGGGAAGAACATTGTTAATGCCCACTGAATACAACAGGAATGATCAGAATCCATCAATGACCTGAAAGATGGCATAGAGCGCACCCTCAGCATGTTTGCAGATGACACCAAGCTAGAGGGGAAGGGTAGAGATGCTGGAGGGTAGGGCTAGGATTCAGAGAGACCTGAACAAATTGAAGGATTAGAGCAAAAGAAATCTCATGAGATTCAATAAGAACACATGCAAAGTCCTGCACGTGGGTCGGAACAATCCCATGCACTAGTACAGGCTGGGGACCACCTGGCTAAACAGCAGATCTGCAAAAAAGGACCTGGGGGTTACAATGGACAATAAGCTGAAGATAAACCAACTGTGCCCTTGTTGCAAAGAAGGCAAACGGCATCCTGGTCTGCATTAGTAGGAGCATTGCCAGCAGATCAAAGGAAGCGATTCTTCCCCTCTTTCAGCACTGGTGAGGCCATATCTACAGTACTGCATCCAGTTTTGGGCCCCCCACTTAATAAAGGATATGGACAAATTGGAGAGAGTCCAGCAGAAGGCGACAAAAATGGTTCAGGAGCTGGGGGACATGAGTTCTGTGAAGAGGCTGAGGGAACTGGGCTTGTTTAGTCTGAAGCAGAGAAGACAGAGGGGAAGACTGAATAGCAGCCTTCAGCTACCTGAAAGGTGGCTCCAAAGAGGATGGAGCTGGATTGTTCTCAGTGGTGGCAGATGACAGAACAAGGAGCAATGGGCTCAAGTTGCAGCAAGAGAAGTTTAGGTTAGATATTAGGAAAAACTCTTGCTAGGAGGGTGGTCAAGCACTGGAACAGGTTACCCAGAGAGGTTGTGGACTCTCCATGCTTAAAGGAGTTGGTTTAAAACCCAACTAGACAAACCCTTGGGTGGGATAATCTAGTTAGGGATGATCCTGCTTTGAGCACTAAATGACCTCCTGTGGTCCCTTCCAGGTCTCATTTTCTATGATTCCACGAGTTTCACCGGATTTCCAGTTGTTGCTGGATTGTGCTTCACTTTGGAAACCTGGGGTTGTAAAGCTGGGGCTTCTCTCAGTGAAGGACATGTCAAAATGCCAGCTTACCACAATGGAACAAAATCATGGCATGAATCTTCTCCCACAAAATGTGGAGGCTGACATCTCATAATGTGGTTGTAAAGATGATGTGGCTTGGCCCAGCTGTCCACATCAGCTGGAGCCATCTGGATAGTACAGGGTTTGTGGGGACTGGAGACTGCCCCACTGGCAAAGCTGTCCTCGAACATCCAAATACTAGGGCTGTGCAAAGCTTCGGGTAGCGATTCGATTCGGAGGAGATTCAGCCCAATTCGGTGGCCGAATCACCAAATCCAAATTGAATCAGCAGACCAATTAAAAGGTCCGGATCTTTGGAAAAGAGTTGGAGAGCTTTGATGATTCAGGTAGTCCCCGGTGGCTGCAGCAGGGAGCTGCAGCTGACTCTGAGCTGGTAAGTACTGGGGAGGGGGAGGGGACCATGGGGGGGACCCCTGCCAGCCTCCCAACCCTGCCTGCTCCACCAGCCCCACCCATGGCTGCCCTTGCCCGCCCCAGCTTCCTGTGTTTTTAAAAAGAAAGCCCCAGTGCTCACCAGGTGCTGCTGGGTAGGGGGTGATCCCCGCTGCCCCACACTGCATGGGAGGCTCTGAACAAGCCCCCTGATGCCCCTCCCCCTTTGCTCCCGCAGCCCCTCCAAGGCCAGCTCTGGCCCTTTAAGAAGAAAGCCCCAGGACAGCAGCAGCAGCCAAAGTGGGTTCGGCTGAATTGAATCACTGTCCCCCGAATCAGCCAAAGCAAATACTAGCCACTTCGCACAGGCCTACCATACTGTACGCAGATGCTCAGGAGGAGCATTTTGACAGGCAAAACAGGCTTTAGGCAAAAGTAAGATGTAGGCACTGTTTTAAGGTGGCCAAGCTTGGAATCTGGCCTCTTAACGGAAAGTTCGTTACAGAATCGTGTTATATAAAAATGTAGTCAATGGGCTGAATGAAAAGAGGCACTGGAGTAAGAAAGGTGATTTCATAGATAGATTTCATAGATTAAGGGTCGGAAGGGACCTAGTAGATCTTCTAGCCCGACCCCCCGCCAGGGCGGGAGAACAACAAAAAACCCCAAAAAGAGAAATGGGACTCAAACGAGTAAATGATGGGGCCCAAGCGGTGTTGGTCTAGAGGCCAGGCAGTGAGCCACCAGGCAACAACTGGGTACAGATTACTAATGTTGTGCACAGCCTGGGAGCTCTATAAAGCAGCAGTCATCATTAGAAGAAGGTGGAAGGCACTTGGGGCCAGACTTCCTAAGACATCCAGGGACCTGAAGGGGCAGAGAGATGTTTGGGAAATTGCCAGCAGGCACCCTTCTGGATCCTGAGGTGCCCAAGTGATCCTAAAAACCTGGCCTTTCGTCTTCATTTCAATGCCTGAGTTGCAATCAAACAGCATGCTTCTCTGGGACCTTTCACCAGAGGTCCGCAAAGTGCCTTGCAAGGAGGAGGAAGCATCCCTGATCCCTGTGCTTGTTTAATGGTAGGACGCTAAGGCACGAAGGCCCCAATACAGCAAAGTACTTGGCTGACATAGCACCTGCAAGGAGTCTCAAAGCCACTAGGACCATCTACAGACAGGACCGCAGCCAGGGAGGGGAGAAGACTTGCCCACGAAAGAGACCACTCTGCAGCCCCCTCTTCTATACAAGCAGCCTTCCTTGGTCCCTCTCTCCTCATCACCCCAGTAAACACCAAGAGCCTGGTTACCCCATTACACTAAAGCAGCCCTAAGGTGGATGGAGACAAGTCACAGCCATTTCTGTTACATTTCTGCTCATAACATCTCTAGGTGTGTATAGATATATATATATTTTTTTTTTTAATTTAAATTTTTTTTTTTTTTTTTTAA